AAGTAAGTTCCAGATGTTTACACTATTTTCCGGCCGCCATATTGGTGTACCACGGAGGTACACCAACATGGCGTTTTCATACTGGGCTCTGTAAATACCGGCGAAACATTTCGACGAATATCTGAAGTTTGGGGAAAAGCACAGGCCTAAAACTTGGAGAAGTGGCTTATTTAGTTATCTTCTATAACATCATAATTTCATAGCTTTTTCCACTGGATGGTTTTCGATTTATTTTTTTATTGCGTGACAGTGAAAACGATGTATTAAAATTGTACTCCATGTTCAAGTGTAATACTGGGATGATGACGAGAGGCATATTCCACAAGCCTACATAAACCATTCTCTCCCTGATAAAGTAGCGTCTCACCTACGCCGTGCCGAAAAGGAATCTGGAACGAGTTGAAATTTCTCTTTGTCCCCAGACCTCAAACGGTCTTCAACAAACTTAGCTTCTACTTCTGATCACTATTCAAATGTTCAATTCTCCTTTTTCTTTTAAGTCTGATTTGCTACGATTTTGTGTCGAGTTCAACATTGGAAGATTTTCTTTGTGAGAAAGGAACTGTTCTTAACTTCGATGCAGTGTGCGCCATAGCTTGTGACGTCATCAGTGCCATAGAACGACTACAGGATCTTGGGATACTCCATAACAACATCACAACAAGCAACATTCTCATTGGTCAATGCTCACGAGTGAGTAAAATGAGTAAATATGAGCAGTCTATATTTCTCTTCCCTCTTTTTTATAGTCTCTCAAGAGAAACGCGAAAAAGCGGCCACGTGAGAAAGTTTCCTCTTGCTTTTTTAATGAATATAATGAATATAACGAGTAAGGGCTATATAAGAGTGCCTGCTTGGAGTGCAGCGACACAATTCACGTCTACGGGAGCTCATTTGTGTGGAAGGCTAGGTTATTCTTTTATAGTTTAGTGACTTCGAATTACTGATTAATTCTAGTTCATTGTTTCATCCACAGACGTCGTATTCCAAGAACATATACTTACCGGCCAGTAAAACATTTCGAAATATCCTTCTATTTTATAATTTATTTTACGCCATAAAAAAAACATTAAGATTAACAGATGTGCTAATAAAACAACATTAACCTTGAAACTGTCGTCGCGCAAGTGTTTCGTCATATATGGTCGAGAAAAGCTTCGCTTTCTATTAAGGAAAATGGTTTTTGCGGGTTAAAAGCTGCTTGACTAAAACGGGAAGGATAAACGAATTTGCTATTTCTTATCTCCTAAGCTGCAGTAAAAAATTAGAACAGATCTTGTGTAAACCAGCTCATCCTAAATTTTCCCTCTGTAGAAAATAGACGTTAGAAACGCACGCTTGAAGAAACTGAGAAATCTGGATTAACACTTCGCTTTTCCATACCTGTATGTGACTTGCACACATCTAAACCTTATCTGAAGCTGTCTTTTAATCTGGTACGTAATTTTTTATCGCTTCTTTTTAGCTTCCTCCTATAAGAGCAGTCTTGAGTGGTTTTTCTCGAGCGTCCAAGATGAACGAAGCTGGGGCTTTTACAAACTGGGCAGCTGATGAACAGAGTAACTTTGGCAACGATATTGAACAATTTGGACAGTTGTTAGCTACCTTATTAGGGCATTGCCATGGCTCAAGTGAATATATCAAGGTAAATATTGCTGTTTATATTATTTTCACGATCGTTCTTCTTGTTTTACGTCCTAAAGAAGTTAAAACTGTATTAAGGCCACGGACGTAAATCTGCTAATGACTGGCCATGTTGCTGATGTCAACTGAGTAATGGACACGCATCTCAAGCAGTTTTTTGCTTCAAGTAATGACTTCCGTTAGCGCTAGAGATATCTCGTTTTACCCAACCTCGTTCCCAGGGCTTTTCTGTTAGAGCCCTGGGAACGAGGTGGTGTTTATACCTATTCCTAGCCGTCCACATACAACTAGTGTAAGGTTTAACTAGGTGGGGACGGGAACCTTTGATAAGTGTAGATGCTGTACACTATACGCTGCTGTAGACGCCTATCAACAAAACCTGCTCTGTAAACAATACGAGGTTTCTGTTTCAAACAGGGAAAACGCCATCAGAAGTCTGTTACTAGCAATAAGCACCGTCGTAGCTTCCATAACGCTTTTTACAGCATTTCTCTGGCATATGTCAGCTATGTATCCGACAGCGTAATATTGTGTACAAGGAAAAGACACAAGGTACAAGAAATACGTGGAAGATAAGTTTTCTTTGTTTATAAGTGTCTGATTTTTATTTATTTATTTATTTTTTTTGTAGCTTCATGAAATTATGAATCTGTGTTTTGAGGAGACAGTGGAGAACAGACCTACGGCATTTTACATCCGGGAGCTTCTGGAAGAAGTTTGGTTCTGCGTGGGAGTCTGGGATACCTGTCTATGAATAAAACTTGTTTCAATGAGCTATTTCACTGTCTCACTGGACGCAAGGGAAAAGAAGTGTAATAGCGTATAGTTTTTTATTTCCTTTCCCTTTCACTTTCAAAGGATAATATCGTTATTTGTAATGCCATTTACTCAGCAACCTACTTCTTTTTTGATGGAGTTTGCGTGTTATGAAGCTAAAATACATTGTAATAAGTTGTGTTCGGTTCTGTTAAACGGTCTTAAACCAACTCTCAAACAGACGAAAGACAACGCTATGTGTTTTCTTATTTTACGAGGTCAGTCAAAGTCAGCTCCTGTACAACAACTAACCAATGAGTCCATTCCCAAGCAATCATACCTCCAGACTTTGCCTAGCCTAGTGAGGAGTTTGAGATAGTTTTAGTTAGGTGTCCCCTATTAGCAGTGGGGATTCTCCACTGCTTATTATTAGATGTATTTGACACGTTAATAAATTCACTATTATTATTATTATTATTATTATTATTATTATTATTGAGAAATCTTGTTAATTGTCTCAGTTTATGCACGAGGAAGAAATCGTTTGTTTGATTTCCGTTTTTACTGTTGTAAATACAGTGTACTTTATTTACAAATATAGAGTTCCGAGTTGTAGTCAATTCAAGGTTTTGTAGATATGTATACCAAGCTTTCTCGGCTTGAAGGGGCTACTCGGCCCTCATGATGTAATCTTTACCTTTTACTTCATGTACAAAGCTGACCCTTTTGGTAAATGCCATGAGCTTTGGCTTGAAAGTAGAGAATTTAATAAATTTGAAACAAATAATTTCATTTAGTGGTGATAGTTTTGAAAATAAGTCCATAACGAACAAACTACCGTAGGAGTTTTCTCCAGGCCTTAAGTCGAAACGGACTGACCGCGGCGAATTAAAGAGGCCTAGGAACTAGGTAAGAGTTCGTGATTTAAAAACCCCTCAGGTATGACATGTTATCGATCTTATTTCTTTTGTTATTATTTTAGAAAAATTTCCTGTTTCTTTTTTCTCGTTATTGCTCCACAGAAAATACGGATTACATGTAAATGCCTCTATTTCCATACAACTACAGCTAGCCTCTTTCCGAAGCAAGAGAAAAACGGAAGTTTTTTGGTTTGAAACGTCCAAGAGGTTTTAATTTGCTTTTCCCGATCGAAAGATCTAGTACTAAAGGCTTATTATTGAAAGACAAAAATTCCCTTTCGAAATACGATACAAGTTCTACGGTAGGGGATTTGTAATCGGAACCATTAATCGCATAAAGCGGAAAATAAGCGCATAAGCTCGTGCTTAGGGGCAACGGGAAACGTTTAAACGTTTTGTCTGAGATTTGAAGGGGCATTTTTTCATGATTTTCCAAATATAAGTGTACCACGTAAGGGATCGTTCTCTCTTACTTTAGCCCTTTTCATTTTCGCGTGAAATCCTCCGCGCTTCGCACGAGGAACGAGACAGGACGAAAAGCAAGCAACGAGAGATGCGGACATCTGTTTTTTCCTAATATTCAAAACATTTAAAATAAAAACCTTTATAAACTCTGGCAATTATGCTTCTAAACGCGTTTTTATTGATGTTAATTTGAGGTCTCAAAGGCGTTCTTGTTTCGAGTTTGTCCTTAGTGACATTGGGTTTGGTCAGTTCTCTGTATGATTTAGAATTATTCTTCATGTAATTTATGACATAGAAAAAATATTGAGAACTACTGGTTGTAGTGGTATCGTCGCTTTCATTTTCTATGGACTTTTTATTTTAAACTTTTCCTAAGCGTCCAAAGATCGTATCTAATAGAATGGTGAATGTTGACGTTTAGTTTTGTTTTCTGGGCGGAATGGGAAGGAAATGTTACAATAACATCCGTTTGGGATGAAACACATGTTATTTTCCCTTACAACAATACTGACGAGAAGATTCTTCATCTTTTAACGGCCAGACTAATATCTATACTAATACTATCATGGTAAAACTTCTGTCAAATAGTGTTTTGATTTTGATTGTATCAACGAAGTTTCCGTTGTCTATTTGTTCCCACCATGCGTACCATTTCAGCTTAAGATTATCATTTCAATCTTTGCATTTTTCTTTTATGCCCGGCCAAAAATAATTTTAACAGAAGCGAAAGCGCTTTGGAACAAAGTGCAAGGAAACGAAGTTTTCTGTCTTTTTCCCGGCTCTGATCCATATCTAACACAGGTTTAGGTCAATTCATTGTTTTTATCTGGGTAAATATAAATTGAGTTTGATTTCAACGGGGGGCCACTAATTGAAACATTTTCAGAAGCGCTCTTAAGTAAAATTCAACAATATTTGTCGTTAATGTTTAATAAACCAGATCAAGCTGATTCTTGCTTTGAAATATTAATGCTCGTTCTAGAATAGTCAGCTGCAAACCTCTGTAATTAAATTAAACCTTTCTCAAGTCTTACGTGACTTTTTATGAATGTATGCACACCGCAAAAGAGAAATAGAAATTAAAAACAATTTGTTTTTAGTTAACCGCAATATTTCTGATTGGAGTGATTAGTGCACATGCGCGTGGTTATCAGTAGTTCAACTGCGTTGGTTTTTATCTACTGTTATATTCCAATTTGAGAAATATAAGAGAGTAAATTTAATTCACCATCTGTTGAGTTATTATTTGGCTATACGTCCTTAGTTTCGCTCTTGTGGTGAATTCTCCATGTCGTATTATATTTCCTTGATGAAACGCTGGGGGAGTTTTCTTCAAATTTCTGGCTTTCTCTTGTCAATCTCTGTGATTGCACCGGCTTTATTTTCATACAGTTGCTTCTCTTACTTCAGATATTCGTTTTGATTGCTTTTTAACGATGGGGACGGGTTTATATGATATAAATGACTTGATATGTGCACCCACTCTGATTTGTGCGAGAATTTACAGTTCTGTAGCTTGATTCGATAATCCAACTCCGTCCGAGAAACTCAAGAATGCCATCAGCGTTTTCTCCTCCGTTTAATTCCCTGTTTCAGTAATCGAAGTTCTTTAATTTTAGTGATTTTTTTTTATTATTTTCACAACCTGTTAAAGTTGTCAGCTTGCCAGACGGTCGCCTTTAAAATAGGTGTAAATCGGTTCGCTACGGGTGGCTTGCGTTAAACTGCGACAAAATCTTTTACGCTTTTTCATTCTGATTCAAAATTTCTCAGGCACTCACTGATCCGCAACAAGCAAAGATTCTCCGTCGCTTCTTATATTTCAACCACGATTTCGATTCTCTTCGAGTTTAACATTACGAAATACTGTCACTTTCCATTGTTTTCTTGCATATAAGCAGTTCACTTCGCGACAGAATAATCAGTCGCTCGCGCAGTTTTATCCTAAAACCTTTTGTTCACAAGAAAATGTGTAAAATGTCATGTCAAGTCAGATTTCCTGTCTGTGTATTTTTTTGTTAAATTTCAACCATTAGAAACCCTTTTTGCTTCCTATAAAAAGGAAACATTATTCAATTGAACTACCTTTTAGTTCATTTGTTAAATAATTTATGCTTTTCAGTGGTTTCAATGGTTCAAGTTTGCACCAATCATATTCTTTGTTGTGTTGATTTCATGCACGTGTGCTAAATGTGGGGTTATTGTTACTTAGACCACAGTTCCTTACTGCTCCAAAACCGCTCGTTTTCAGTTTGAATCTTTGTTATTTTTCTTCCTCAGGCGGAAGTCTACTNATTATTATTATTATTATTATTATTATTATTATTATTGAGAAATCTTGTTAATTGTCTCAGTTTATGCACGAGGAAGAAATCGTTTGTTTGATTTCCGTTTTTACTGTTGTAAATACAGTGTACTTTATTTACAAATATAGAGTTCCGAGTTGTAGTCAATTCAAGGTTTTGTAGATATGTATACCAAGCTTTCTCGGCTTGAAGGGGCTACTCGGCCCTCATGATGTAATCTTTACCTTTTACTTCATGTACAAAGCTGACCCTTTTGGTAAATGCCATGAGCTTTGGCTTGAAAGTAGAGAATTTAATAAATTTGAAACAAATAATTTCATTTAGTGGTGATAGTTTTGAAAATAAGTCCATAACGAACAAACTACCGTAGGAGTTTTCTCCAGGCCTTAAGTCGAAACGGACTGACCGCGGCGAATTAAAGAGGCCTAGGAACTAGGTAAGAGTTCGTGATTTAAAAACCCCTCAGGTATGACATGTTATCGATCTTATTTCTTTTGTTATTATTTTAGAAAAATTTCCTGTTTCTTTTTTCTCGTTATTGCTCCACAGAAAATACGGATTACATGTAAATGCCTCTATTTCCATACAACTACAGCTAGCCTCTTTCCGAAGCAAGAGAAAAACGGAAGTTTTTTGGTTTGAAACGTCCAAGAGGTTTTAATTTGCTTTTCCCGATCGAAAGATCTAGTACTAAAGGCTTATTATTGAAAGACAAAAATTCCCTTTCGAAATACGATACAAGTTCTACGGTAGGGGATTTGTAATCGGAACCATTAATCGCATAAAGCGGAAAATAAGCGCATAAGCTCGTGCTTAGGGGCAACGGGAAACGTTTAAACGTTTTGTCTGAGATTTGAAGGGGCATTTTTTCATGATTTTCCAAATATAAGTGTACCACGTAAGGGATCGTTCTCTCTTACTTTAGCCCTTTTCATTTTCGCGTGAAATCCTCCGCGCTTCGCACGAGGAACGAGACAGGACGAAAAGCAAGCAACGAGAGATGCGGACATCTGTTTTTTCCTAATATTCAAAACATTTAAAATAAAAACCTTTATAAACTCTGGCAATTATGCTTCTAAACGCGTTTTTATTGATGTTAATTTGAGGTCTCAAAGGCGTTCTTGTTTCGAGTTTGTCCTTAGTGACATTGGGTTTGGTCAGTTCTCTGTATGATTTAGAATTATTCTTCATGTAATTTATGACATAGAAAAAATATTGAGAACTACTGGTTGTAGTGGTATCGTCGCTTTCATTTTCTATGGACTTTTTATTTTAAACTTTTCCTAAGCGTCCAAAGATCGTATCTAATAGAATGGTGAATGTTGACGTTTAGTTTTGTTTTCTGGGCGGAATGGGAAGGAAATGTTACAATAACATCCGTTTGGGATGAAACACATGTTATTTTCCCTTACAACAATACTGACGAGAAGATTCTTCATCTTTTAACGGCCAGACTAATATCTATACTAATACTATCATGGTAAAACTTCTGTCAAATAGTGTTTTGATTTTGATTGTATCAACGAAGTTTCCGTTGTCTATTTGTTCCCACCATGCGTACCATTTCAGCTTAAGATTATCATTTCAATCTTTGCATTTTTCTTTTATGCCCGGCCAAAAATAATTTTAACAGAAGCGAAAGCGCTTTGGAACAAAGTGCAAGGAAACGAAGTTTTCTGTCTTTTTCCCGGCTCTGATCCATATCTAACACAGGTTTAGGTCAATTCATTGTTTTTATCTGGGTAAATATAAATTGAGTTTGATTTCAACGGGGGGCCACTAATTGAAACATTTTCAGAAGCGCTCTTAAGTAAAATTCAACAATATTTGTCGTTAATGTTTAATAAACCAGATCAAGCTGATTCTTGCTTTGAAATATTAATGCTCGTTCTAGAATAGTCAGCTGCAAACCTCTGTAATTAAATTAAACCTTTCTCAAGTCTTACGTGACTTTTTATGAATGTATGCACACCGCAAAAGAGAAATAGAAATTAAAAACAATTTGTTTTTAGTTAACCGCAATATTTCTGATTGGAGTGATTAGTGCACATGCGCGTGGTTATCAGTAGTTCAACTGCGTTGGTTTTTATCTACTGTTATATTCCAATTTGAGAAATATAAGAGAGTAAATTTAATTCACCATCTGTTGAGTTATTATTTGGCTATACGTCCTTAGTTTCGCTCTTGTGGTGAATTCTCCATGTCGTATTATATTTCCTTGATGAAACGCTGGGGGAGTTTTCTTCAAATTTCTGGCTTTCTCTTGTCAATCTCTGTGATTGCACCGGCTTTATTTTCATACAGTTGCTTCTCTTACTTCAGATATTCGTTTTGATTGCTTTTTAACGATGGGGACGGGTTTATATGATATAAATGACTTGATATGTGCACCCACTCTGATTTGTGCGAGAATTTACAGTTCTGTAGCTTGATTCGATAATCCAACTCCGTCCGAGAAACTCAAGAATGCCATCAGCGTTTTCTCCTCCGTTTAATTCCCTGTTTCAGTAATCGAAGTTCTTTAATTTTAGTGATTTTTTTTTATTATTTTCACAACCTGTTAAAGTTGTCAGCTTGCCAGACGGTCGCCTTTAAAATAGGTGTAAATCGGTTCGCTACGGGTGGCTTGCGTTAAACTGCGACAAAATCTTTTACGCTTTTTCATTCTGATTCAAAATTTCTCAGGCACTCACTGATCCGCAACAAGCAAAGATTCTCCGTCGCTTCTTATATTTCAACCACGATTTCGATTCTCTTCGAGTTTAACATTACGAAATACTGTCACTTTCCATTGTTTTCTTGCATATAAGCAGTTCACTTCGCGACAGAATAATCAGTCGCTCGCGCAGTTTTATCCTAAAACCTTTTGTTCACAAGAAAATGTGTAAAATGTCATGTCAAGTCAGATTTCCTGTCTGTGTATTTTTTTGTTAAATTTCAACCATTAGAAACCCTTTTTGCTTCCTATAAAAAGGAAACATTATTCAATTGAACTACCTTTTAGTTCATTTGTTAAATAATTTATGCTTTTCAGTGGTTTCAATGGTTCAAGTTTGCACCAATCATATTCTTTGTTGTGTTGATTTCATGCACGTGTGCTAAATGTGGGGTTATTGTTACTTAGACCACAGTTCCTTACTGCTCCAAAACCGCTCGTTTTCAGTTTGAATCTTTGTTATTTTTCTTCCTCAGGCGGAAGTCTACTGAAATCAAAAGCGTTTCACCGGTATTTCCTGTTTTACTCAGGTGAATAAGAAAACAGGTAAGTAATTTATGCGTGAGGTTCTATATTTTTTTTACCCTAAAATTTACATTAAGAAATCGCCATTTATAAACGTTGAGAAAACAATTACACTTAATATAATACTAATTTTTTCTCTTTTTTGATCCAAGAACCATAGATTTTTGTTTGTGGTTGCAAGTGGCAATTTCTATTTTCAACGACAAGTCAGTTTACACATAGATTGTAAAAAGCGATTTGCACTTGGTATTTTTATAACTGTAATGAAAATGAATACATGTTGATAAGAAATCGACCTGGAATTGATTCAAATAAATTTGCAGAATTTGGCCCCATTGTCATCGCTGTCTCCGTTGCCTTGTAAATTTAAGTTCAAGCCCAGGTGATTTTGTCGATAGTGACTAATTGGTTTCGAAGTGGTGTCAATAAAATATTCGCTTTCGAGAGCGCCAGTCCAAGGGCGGCTATTCTTCAAAGTCAATGTGCTGTGTATTGATTCTCAGAAAACCACTAGAGAATTATAATAACCATGGCTGTCCAAGGCTGTTACGGTTGACTGCCCGTAAACAATAGTGTTACGCCTTGGCAGTACTCCAGAACAAACCTCTCCGGGTTAGAAAACAACACATTACACCCCTAAACAGTGTTGTGTCACCAAGACAGGCGCATAAATTTAATTTCTACCCGCAAATTCGGGCAATATATTAATGGCATACCGCAGAAGAAACAAAATTACTCCACGTCTGCGGGTTTTATTTAATTTTGTCAAGAACTCCAGAGTTCGTTTCAAGAGATTTGAAAGCGTTTCAGCATTGTTGAAGTTCGAAGCCGTCAGACGTTTCCAATTTTAGCCTTATTCCTGTTTTATTCTCGTTCTAGTTGCTGTTTTACTTTGGCATTTTTCAGTTATTCTATGGATAGCGAGTGTGATATCAAGGACAGTGCTGCCGTTTATTTTTCACTTTTTTTTTAAAGAAAACGTTGAAAATTCAAGAAAAGAACTTATTATTTGAGTTTCGGGAAAGGAAAATTCTGATTGACAAGTCATGGCGGAGCGGTATGACATTGCGTGTCAAGCGTGACATGATAATGGAGCGGTCTGATTGGTCAGTTCCGTTACTGATTGGTCGTGAGGCTCATATCTGGCCCGACCCTTTTGTAGCTCGCATCTCTTTTCAATCGTCCTGTGGAAACTGCAGTAAAATCTTTATTTTTGAACGAAAAACGGAACAGTTACTGCGACCAGAACCCCGTTGAATTGGACTAACCATTGGAGTCAAAGGAGCGAAGTTTCACGAGGTTTGCACCACGTTTTATAGTTTTTTATCTCCGTCTTGAAGCAATTGGTATTTCAAGCATCTTTGAATGTGTATGGCGTGAATTGTAAAATCTAGAAAATCTCAGGAAATTCCGAGTTTCTGTCGGAAGTCTTTTCATAAAGGTTTCACGGATGCAAATTGTTCATGGTGAACATTTTATAAGAGCGTTTCTTTCGGTTCGAAAGGCGAAAATCGTAATTTTACGGAGTGATCGACGAATATGTAATGTTATGAATAACAAACATTGCTGACCGATTTGAATTTCTAATTTTGTCACATTCGGTGAAAGATTTGTATATAGCTTATCACCCACGTAAAATCGGCTTTTTCCCCAAGAAACAACCTTACTCCAGCTGGAAAGTCGTAGTTGATAGTTTTCGTTGCCCCCAAAACAATTTCTCTTTCTTCAATTTCTCGTTGCTTGACGTCAATTTAGGCTTATGTTTTGTGTTCTACAGATTATTCCGCTTGTGAAGTTTTAACCTTCGAGACAAATGGTGCAGTGCTTTTCTTGTGACAGGTAGAGGTTAGATATTTGTCCATTTTATCTACGGTAATAAGTTCTTCATATTACTCTTCGACGCCGCCAAGTGACCTGTGAACAATTTCAAGCGCTTTCAAGTAATATCCTGCGTGAACGTTAGTTGGTGTCTCGCAATAAGAAAAACATTTTACAGAACAGTAATTTGTAACTATTCTCCCAATAAAATGCGTCCCTGCATAATTCTCTCAAATTTGCCGACAATTGATGGACATGATAAACGATCGAGTTATTAAAATGTGTTGATATTTTGTTTAGATAACTCGGGATAACTCGATACATGTTTGCAAATCTTGCATGTCGGGGGCCCCATATATTCGCGATCGTCCGCTTGAATAAAACTTTTAGAGTTCCTGCCATTATTTCAGCTGTTTCCATTTATATTTTTATATGTGGTACTCGAATGTGACACCTTATTATTCCGAGCGGAACTTTTTACTGGAGTAAAATAGCTTGTTGTTTTCTAAACTTCATCGATTGTTCGGGCGAGACACTGACGTAAGCAAAGCTTTTGATAAAATTCAAATCCTTTTATAAGCCCAGACCACGTCACAACTCCATGCTTTTAAACTCGTTTGGTATGTCCCAAAACTACCATTAACGCGATTAAAGGATTTAACCCTTCTAAAATGAAGGTTTGCGACACGATTCTGGCGATCGCCTTTCCATTACTGATTTTTTTGTTACGTCCACCTGTACTATTTTTAAACCCATTTTCATAGAAAAAAATCTTGCTAATTTTACACATGCCTTCTCGATCCGCGGACGATAATCATTTTAAAAAAACCCCGCAAGAAACTGGATTTCGTTTCGGTACTTCCTTACGGTTCACACTGTGAAAACAACTTAACGTGAAGTTATTAGCTTTCGCGTTTTGATAAAGCGATCAAACATTGCGCGATATTGGTTATCTACGTTGTCGCTCAGGTAAATCTTTTGTGAAGTATTGTCTTCTGTGTTTTTCCCAGTGGTAGGCTTGACTTTGTTGCCCCCTCGTTTATTTGAACAGTTGGTGCAAAACTGATCGACCAATGAAATGCCCTCTTTTGTTCTCTTCACATGATAACCATTGTTAATTGTTCTTGAGGGTCTTTGTATTGTAACTTTTGTATTCCAAGCAAACCTTCCACCTTAGGAATCAATGCTATACTGTGAAAATGACATGTAATTTTAATATGGGCTGTCACACATTTTAGATGCATTGGCTAAGAACGATTTTTTCGTGTTTTATGTAGTTAGCGTAGACAGAGAAAGAGATATTGAGTGCAATGAGTTGTGAAGTGAAGCGTGGCCTCCTTAAGTGTGTTTATGAAGTGACCTGTGACAAATTTGCATTTATTTTTATAAATATTTTAAACAGCATGTTTTTACTAATCATAGTAACTAATAGTTTCAACAAAATAGGTTATTTTTTTCTTAGCTGTCTTGTATACCATCTAATTGTGTGAACATTTTTGATAAGTGTGTTCGAGTTGTGAGATGTTGCTTTCGCATTTGTTACAGCTGAAGTGTGCCATCCTGTGTATTTTTTTATTTATTTCTGGTAACAATAATTCTTACTGGTAACATGTGGCAGGGTTTAGTTTAAGAAAAGTATAACATCAAGTGCATGTGGTGAGACAATAATTGACATGTTTTAATTTCGGCCAGGTGTGTTTGGTTTATCTCTCTGGTGTCTTGTGTGATGTGATACAGACATTTACCTCACAGGGCTGTTTAACCCCAAAATTTAAATTCTCCTACTAAGGCCAATACATTTCAAGGAGGTGCAGTGATGAGAATAATGACAAACATCAAGTGGATGTCTCAATGTAACTCAAAATTCTTTTAATCAATGAGAAGAAAAATCTGCAGATAAGAGGATTAGCACTGCTATGTTTTTATTTCACGCTTTCATCTCAAATAAAAGGACACTTGCCAAGGAAGTAATTTGTTATAATCAATGCAAGATATCTTTAGTAATAAATATGCAAATTATATTTTTTCTGTGTTGCTGATACTATACTTGACACCATATCAATAACAAAGAATAACATTTTAGCAATGCAAGGTTATCATTGTTCTTAAGAAAACAAGCACTATTTTGCACTATTTTTAATAAATAGTTTTCTCCACAATTGAAGATTGCATCATTAGGCAGTTTAGATCTCTAGTGAATTTTTTTTGTCTGTAAATTTGCATGTTTTAGTGACATCTAACAGAGGTATAATTAGCTCCATAAATTAGCAAAAAAATATTGATTCTGTGGCTTTGTCTCTCAGGAAACTGACGAAAACAACTTAAACAAAGGATTTCTTATGCTTAGCCACACAACTCTAGTCAACAATCAACATCACGAAAATATGGAACTCTCCCTTAGCAAAAGTTAGTTTAGTGGTCCATTATTGTTAATATAGTGCTTAGAGCTGTTGAAAATTTCAAGCATTCAAATGGATGTTTATTTGTAGGCTTGATATCTGAGGATAGGAAATGTCTTGGTTTGAATGAAGAAGCAACTGGTAGGCTGGACTAACTTCGGGCACAATCCATTCAACCAAAATTTCCGGGTTGAGGTTCGAAATTTCTTGGTATCAAATGGATTGTGACAGGTCTGGACAGTCTCGTTCCATTCCCCTGCTCATTTAAAATGGAGGATATTGGATCACTGTTGCTCGTATAAGAGCTAGATGATGATTTTGATGGTGATATCAATGATATTGTGTGAGCTCTTTCATGCATAGTAATTTAACCGGTATAACGGGTTATTTTGAGCAGACCATCCCCAGATATTTGCCGTATGAGTTCAAACACCACTTTCGAATGATGAAAAGAACATTCCAAATTCTCTCGGGAAATAAATCGTTTTTAAGAGCTGTTAACAGCCAAAACATACACTTGGTTTGCGAATTAGCGAAGTAGTAAGTGTTTTCCTCCATGGTGTACATGGAAAATACCGAGGTACTGGGATTGAGAATGGGTCGGAATGGTCTAATGGAACGGTCCATTTTGATCAGACCGGTACAACTGGGAAAAGTGGTCCACCTTGAAAAGTGGACCGATTTTTTCAAAACTTTTCAGGTTGGACTGAACCAATCCATTCAGTTTTAGACTGAAATTTCCGGAAATTTTGGTTGAATGGATCGTGTCCTTTGAAAATCTTTCATTTCACATAAAACATGTTCAACTTGATAATATATGATCTCTGAACTGAGAGAGGAAATGAGACTTTGTTATGAAATAGAAGCCTTTAGACATGCTCAGAACTCAATTTCTAAGTTAAATACAGTGGCCATTAGTACAGTATGGACACTTTTGATTTTCCATTCTGATGGTGAGGATTATTTGTGACTTAATATGTTTTAAAACATGTCTTATTGCTAAGGAAGGAAGAGCTGTATGTTAATTATTCCAATGGAATACTGTAATTTATCTTGCATGCAGCTCAGTCCATTAACTTGTAAAAAAGACACACACATTCAATATTTCCTCAATGTGGACCTCATATCACTTAACATATATACAGATTTATGATTAAAAATTAATCGTCTTGATCTCTGTCTTTGAATTCCTTTAGAATTATGAATCATTAATCAGTGAATGTATGGTCCAAGACTCGCTGTAACAGACAGCTAGCCGTGGTGTTTAAGTGATGACAGTATCAGTTGGTGTAACATCTTGTACACCTCAGGCTAAGGATCTAGAAAAAGTAGAAAAGGCTCCACACGGAGATAACTTTGATAAAGAAGGAGAAGACTTGAAAAATGACATGGCTATATGTAATGGGCAAAGAACAGCTGATTTAAACTTATCTTCAAGAATTGTTGAAAATATTGAAAATGCATCCAGCAAGGTTATCTGCTCTTCTGATGTGTACTCTGGACCCTCCAAGGAGGATGCAGTTGTGACTAATCAAGTGGACACCCTTGAGGTAAACAATGTGTGTGTCAATCCAAGTAAGACCATGAAGCAAGGTCGTGTGGTCAGTCGTGGGAGAAGGAAAAGTGATAACAAGGAGTACAACCAAAAGTCTCAAGGTGGTGGAAGAAATCGTGGACGGAAGATCTCCAAAGGCACTAGAGATTACGAGAACAGTTCAAGCAATGGTGGTAATTCTGGAGCAGATGGCAATGGAGAGGATAATGGTAGTGACGATGATGATGAAGATGATGATGCAGATGAAGATGATGACGACGATGATGAAGATGATGATGATGAGGCAGAGGATGATGACGATGATGAGGATGAAGAGGAAAGTAAAAATGAGGACGAGGATGATGATATCTCTTTAAATGGAAATGAAAAGAATGGGAAGGAAACCAAAATCAAGCAGGAGCCGTCAGATGATCAAGAGGTACTGTACTGTTACTGCATGCTCAGTTCATGTGCATAAAACAGGAATTGAACTCCAGTAGACCACATTCATATTCCTGGTATTGAACTGGAATAGCTTGCAGCTGAGGAGCTAATGTGGGAAGTCTTTTCAAATGCAAATGACATTTACCAGTATCTCTTTTTCATGATATTCCCCTGCTTGTGCCTCCATTGCAAGCTACTGTAGTTCCAGTCCATTACCAGGAATGTGAATATGGTCTTGACTGTCAATGTCTGAAATATTCTTAGTAGTCTTATGTACACCTACAGTGCAGTCAAGGCATTTCTTCATATGAATGAACAGGGATGGGACCAAAAATTATTCACTGTGTCCATAAAGCTGGGATAGACTAAGCACACTTCTTTTAATTGCTCAAAGAACCAGAAAACAATAAGACATGTATAAGAACTGTTGTGTATTCTATTTAAGTGTTTCTTCCCTGAGACATTTTCCTCTTGCATGTACATGTACATGGGGGTGTTCTTTGAAAAGAAAACAGGAACCTTACCAATCCTTAGTTAGGGCAGAGATGGATAAAAGGATTGCAGGGTATTGTTAAACCAAGGTGGTTTTTGTGTTAGAGCAGTTTTCAATTGAGTGTTGCAAAACCAAATCAATTACTTACCAATTAGACTACTCAGCCAATCTCAAACTGTAGTAAAACCAAAAACAAAACTAAACTAATTGCCTGATTACTTTCAACATTCAATTGAAAACGGCTCTAAAAATCTAAAAAGCTTTTAAATTGAAGTTTCTTGTGTCAATAGACATCAATCAATTTGTCCCATCAGATGTTTCCTGCTGGACTACAAGGATTCATGACAGGTTTGGATGGTAATATTCCATTAGCCAATCTTCTAGAAAAGCTGCCCAACTCAGTGTGTCAAGGAGATGAGAACAGTTCATCGCCTGCAGCTCCTGGTGTCCCTGTGACTCTCCATGGGATAGTGTGTCATGAAATTGGAGGTAAGAGTACTAGCTGGTTTTTGTCAGTCATTTGATTACTAGGTCTTGGCCTGATTTGGTTAAGGGATAATAATAGTGACCGTACATGTAGAATCAAAGGTTAGTAAGACATTTTTTTATACTAGTTTCACATATAATATTATTGTAGGTTTGACTAATGATAACTTGCAGGTGTATGATAATCGTCCATTCTGATGTGTTGCATAATGTATGTTTATTTCAGGAGTATTGGTTGTTAATATCAAATGGAGAAACAAATTTTATTGCGGCTCTCTGATGGATTGCTCAAGACATGCCTGGGCCAGTCCAAGGTAATGAAATAATTATGACATTAACTTTGTGTAACTGCAGTTTTCAAAATTACAGCCTCAAAAGTGAATTTTCAACTGACTTTGAAAAAGGTGCATTTATGTACATTTGGCATGTTACCCAGTGACATTGTCACTGGCACCACTTGTCACAGAGATAGGACTGCAGTCTTAAGGTACCATACATAAAAATTATACATCATCACTCTCACTTCTCCCTGCATACTCATTCACTCAATACTTTTTGTGCATTATTTTGTGTCCTTTTGCTACAGATTTCCAGCCATGGATGGTGGTGAAAATGAAATGAAGATGGGTGGAAAAGGTGTGAAGGGAAAGAGGAGACAGAAAAATAGCTCAGTATCCTCGTCTGCAGGAAATGCCAATAAAGAAGGTAACTTTGACAATTTTGGAACTGAACACAATAGTTTTTCCGAAGTCGTGTTTTCTTTGAAACCTAATTTGTTATAATACTGTGAATTGCAGCCACACCTCTGAAGCACAAACTGCGTGGGCGAAAGAGGGGAGTGTCGGGCTGCCCTCCTCCAAAATCCCAAGGGTTTAAAGGAATGGGAAAAAGAAGGTCCAAAAATATGGATGATTATGATGATGGCCCACGCCCTGGAAAGCGAAGCTGTACAATAAAGACAACGGTATCACCTCAACCATCTCCCACCTTGATTGAATGTCCTGAACCTGGTTGTGACAAAAAGTACAAGCATATCAATGGATTGCGCTATCATCAAGCACATGCACACTTGGAAGAGGTGAGTGGATTGTATGAAGTGTTGTATATGTTGTAGTTTAATTTTCAGCAACGTATTTAAATTGTAAAAAGGGAATTGTCCAGCTGCATGTAACAAAGATGTTCCAGTGAGTCAGATCTGACTTGTTATCAAGCTTTGGGTTAGGTTTATGAGTAGGTTTGTGATGAAGTCGGGCATTTTGTAGATCAAAGAACTGAACTTGCCTTTAGATTTTCTTATGATTTTGAACTGTCCCACTATGCTGTTGCAAGTAATTTTTCAGAATGTTTTACTGAGAAAGTTGGTACAGGTAGCTTGTCAGTTCACAAATGTTGTGCTTTTTCACTTCTTTTCAATCTAGTCCAACCAATCAGATGAGAGATCTGCAAGTACCAGTCCTTCACCTGTAGAAGAGTTCAAAGAACCTGATACTAAGCCAGGTTTCAAAGGAAGGACGTCACGTGTCAGTGCCAGAGCAAGGAGTGTGTCTCCATCGCTAGCTGCTGCTCTTGCTGCCATTAACGAGAGGAAGAATGATGCATCATCCAGAGTATCAGGTGGCAAGAAAAAGGAAATCACTGAGCCATGTGTGGATTTGACAAATGCAAAGGAAGGTAAAGAATCCAATTTGACCATTCCTACAAATGAGGAAGACAGTGCTATGGATGACACTTCTGTATCATTTGTAGAAAGCTCGGATAAATGTCAACAGGCTTGTGAACATGAGATCAGGAAGGAAAATGATAACCAAAAAAATGTTGATCAAGCCAAACACATTGATTCAAAGTCTGGCTTTAAGCCTGTACTAGAAGAGCAGCAAATTGCAGTAAAGAATTTGGAAAAGGAACAGGTTAAGGACTCTACAAACTTGACAACATGTACAAAAACCACAGCTGAAGTACTAACAAGAGAAATGCCAGACACTAGCACAGTTGGAATAAAATCTGAGCCTTCCCAGGGCAGTCAAGAGGTATGGGAAACTGCAGTTATTGACTGCGGAGTTAGTGGGCCAAATGGCAGTGGAAAATCCCATGACATGGAGACAATTAGTATAAGTCAGGTTGAGGACATGGAGAAAGCTCTTGCTGAAAACAACTTCAGTGGCAAACAGTCTGACAACCAGCTTAGTATTCCTGGTATGCAGCCAGTGGATTTGCGGCAGGCTGTTGACACTGGAGTAGGGCTTATTAATCAGCTAGGCATTGAAGTTGAGGACATCAGTGAGAATGAAGAAGACATTGATCCTGGCCAAGGTAAAGGCTACTTTATCACAATTTAGGGTTTCTAAATGATGATAGTGCATTGTAAGTTATGATTGAATGCTTACTGAAATAAGAGAGCTAAAAATGTATACAGTGCTTACTGTAGATGTTCAGCGTCAGGCCATATGACTACTGCATACCAAGTAACAGTGTTAATTTCTGATATCTACCTAGTACATTGTACATGTACTCTTCTTACAGTAGTAGGACTGAATGTCCAAAAAGTTTTGCCATCGTCAGAGTAACAGATCGAACATGAATGCTAGTCTGCTATGTGTGATATGAGGTGCAATGTGTTGTTCCAGAAAATATCCATACCCTTCCCATGGAATGTTTTAAGCTTGGACCCTCCCCCGCCACCCCTCTGGAAATTCCACTTAAGTGCCATTCTTTCCTTCAAAAATTTGGGCTTTTGAAACCCCCCTCCCCCTTGGAATTTCTGTTAACCTTCCTTGGGGTGGGTATGGATATTTT